GGGAGAGGGTTGTATTTGTAGATGGAGGTCAAGGGACAAAAGAAGGTGACTAATTTACTAAGCCCCTACCGTGTATGAGGGACTGGGCTGCCGTGAAGGCTCTGACCCCATGCCGGGGGAGTGAGCACCTGCCTGTTCTCATTAGGGCTCCTTGCACACAGCCATGAAAATGAGAAAAACAGGTAAGATTATGGGCATGCAAATATGTGATTACTTACTCTGAATGCCCAGAGCTGGTGGGAGGAAAAAACAAGATGCCTCATGCCACTCAATCTTCTCCAATACGCAGGCTCAATTTAACCCTTAATCTTTTCCTCATGACTTCATTTTTGCCTACCTAACAAATCCTTTCCAAAAATCCCTTCCAGACTTTCCTCCAAGGAGTTAAACACGGGCCACGTGCAGTTCTACTTCCATTATCTGTCCTCTGCACCAGGACTTTCTCATTGTAATACCATCACCCCAAGGTGGGGACCATTGGCAGGGCAGCCAGGAGGGGTCAAGTGCAGGGCAGGTTTACTGAGACCAGCTCCCCTGGGACAGACTGCCACTGTGTTCTTGCCTCTTCACTTTTATGCTCCAAGGATGCACACCTGCTACAGTTATCCTATTTTTTTTTCTGCTTCTCCAGAAAATCTAGTCTATTTCTCTTGTTCCTGAATTTACTAACAACTTACTTAATCTACTAATGAAACTCAATGCCTCTCTTCTTTCTGTAGATTTCCCCTCAACAAACTGATTTCTTATAACAATGCTATAAAGCAGGCGTAGGTGGAAAAGAATATATCCTCCCCTATTTGTACTATTTAGGTGGTTGTGATTGAAGCTTTCAGCAAACCAGGAGAGAGAAAAATGGATCTACTATGGTCTATGGTTTAGACTAGAGGGGAGAATAGGTTAATTAGGATAGGACCTAATCCCTTACCAAGCTGGACAGATGCTGAGAAGGAATACATGTGTTCTTCATTAAAGATTCTTCTAGGGAAACTGAAAGGGAAGGCTATATTAATGGGTTCAAGTACTGAAACAGAATTATCAGTAATTTGGAGGGAATAGAAAACTTTCCAACTTCACTCTTCCCACCATTCATTGCTAAGGAGCTGTTCAAAGCAGGATGGCCATTGAACAGCTAAGTAACTACAAAGCGTCTGTCTTATTCCGAGTAAGATTACCTCTTAGCCTGCGGATCTTGGACCTACCTAATTAGTCCTTAGTAGGTATGAGTGGGAAAAAGGAACATCTGTTTTCACCTTCTTGGCATTTAGTCATGAATTTAGGATTTTTGCAATATGGGAATGGAACTCCAACATGAAAGCCCAGATTTCTCAGGGTTGATGGGTAGATACCAGTTATGGAAGCTACGGACTCACAAGTATTGGATCCAATCAGAAATCTCTCTGCACAAAAGCAGTGGTGACAGCAGCAAGCCATGTATCCTGATAAGGTTCCTGAAGGGAAGTCCTGTGGATGCAGTTGCCTTATGACATTGTGAAGAGGATGGACTTGGTGGGAGAGGATTGGTAATTTCTGGAACTTCAATCTTCATAAAAGCCTTCCTATTCATGACAGCCTATTTATGTCCATCTTCTGTGTTCTCATCCTGGACCCTTAGGGCAATGACTGAGGAATGGGGTATGGGTCCTGAGGCTTTTAGTTGTAACCAAGAGTTCTGATGGAACTTATGGATCTTTAATCTGTAAAGAGAACTGAAGCTTATTCCAAAATAGAATACAGAATCCTCATCAAAATAGGATGCACTTTTGCTGTAATAATCTATTTGATACTTGCACTTCTTGTGTTTCAGAATCAGCCATGTTTGTGATTGGGATGAACGGCCCATGGATAGAGAGTCAGGCAAAAGGACAAAGGGAGGGATGGGTGTAGCTATAAGTTAATAGGTTTGCAGATAAAAAATACACAAAAGCACACTCAAATAATAACCAAAATAGTTTATATTATACTTTAAAATTCTTTCATATAAAACATAGCAAACTATAATTAATGCTTTTTCTACTCTCTTAGGAAAAGCACATTAAAAAATGTTAGAAGTTAAGACTTTAATTGCATTCCTTATATTTAACAATTTCCACATTTCACATTTGCTACCCATAATTTCACCAAGATCTATTTCACCTGTCCTTTATAAACTCACTCTGCAATTACTATTCTAGAATTGCACTTACTGGTGTATGGTTATCAAGCACTTGGAACGTGGCTAGTTCAAACTGAGATGTGCTGTAAATATAAAATACATCAGATTTTGAGGGCTTAGTATGAAAAAAAGAATGTAAAAACTCAATCTTTATATTTTAGATACATTAGATTACATAAAGTACCAAAATTAATTTCATCTCCTTTTTATCTTTTTAAATGTGGCTACTAGAAAATTAAAAACTACATGTCGCTCACACTATATTATTATCGGACAGCACTAGGCTAGAACATTTGAAAACAAAATGGCTATAGCTTCAACTTACCAATGTCTTATACACTCATCATCTGCTTTTGGAAATGGGAATTGTAAAATAAAATAACAATCTGGCTACTTTTATGCATGCTTTGAATTTTTTCTAATGAACATATACTACACTTTTTAAACAGAGAAAGTAAGAATGTTATTAGATTAAGACAATGAATAAATCAAATTCCCCTATTACTTATGAAATGTATTTTGTACCTTATATCAGGTGCAGAAATGAGGCAGCTAGAGGTAGGAGTGGAAATCGGGGAGAACACGAGAGAGTTCAATATCTACTTGTACAGAAGTTACAATTCCCGGCTAAACTCTGGTGGAAGCTCTAGGACTCAGGTGGCTGTCCAGGCCACTGTGCTCACATTCCTCTGTGTTTCTGTGAGAAAGAGCAGCTGTTTTTCTGGCACCAAGAATTAAGAATGAACACTTCGTCAATAATGGCAGAGTATGTGGAATTTTCTTTTCTTTCTGTATCTAGCATATAAATGAGACCTTTTACAATAAATCTCACTAGTTCTAGAATCATCTGACATAAAGGAACCTGTCCATAAATTATTTAAAATGTGACTGGCTAATGATTTTCAGTCAGATGCACCATAATGACTTTTTTTTCTGTATTGGTTAAGGGCAATTTATTTTGAAATGTGTCTTTTGTGTTGTCTGCTTTCTGGCAGCATACTGGAACACTTGTTTTCAAAAGCTTCCTCTGACAGCGGCCCAATCCCATCCACCGTCAGGCCTTTTGGTGAGGTCAGATGAAATCCGAGTTTCTAGTAATGCTCTGGTGCGTGCACTTCATCTGCAAGAGCAACGGGCACGACCACCCCCCGCCGGTGCAGCTCTCGGAGAACATCTAATATCGAGTCTAACTCTGTGCGGAACTTGTCCAGCTCGCGATTCTTCAACTGTGCGAGTCTTTTCCATTTCTCAATTTCTTTGTTTTGCTCAGTTTCTACTACTTGGCGTGTTTGCTGTATTATCTGCAAATAAAAAAACTCCACTTTACTGTTACGGTTCATAGTGGGGGTGAAGAACATTTAACAATCTCAAAGAACTACAGTGGGACAATGCCGACTATGGTAAACCGGTGACTCGTATGTCAGAGGGGAGGGAGACAGAGTGGGAGCCTTACCTAATAGGCTCCACTGTGTCAGTACACAGGCTTGCAGGTGAAGAGGGTAAGAGGCAGTAAATCTAGTGTCTAATTCTGTTGGGGGTTAGGGAGTTTTACAGTCTTTTTTAAAGCTGTGAATAAAAAAATAGTACCATTTAAAGCATCAGAAATTTCTAATACCTTGGTACGAATCCAAACATCCCCAAAATGCCGTTCTTCTTAAGAACAGCAATCGAGATGCAATCAAGACAGTTTTAATGTACAACACATCTCATTAATGAACTGCATATTGCAGCAGTAGAAATGGTGATGATAAAAGCACACACACAAAGCGTCCATCGTGTGCCAGGCTTGACTGTAAGCGTTTTACATATGTTAACTCATTTAATCTTGCCAACACACTAGGAGCAGATTCTATAAATTTATCCCCGTTTAACAGGTAGAGAAATGGAGGCACAGATAAGTCAAAAAATAATTTGTCCAAGGTTCACACACAACCCGTTGGAGGCAGAGTCAGGATTCACACCCAGGAAGCCTGGCCTCCGAGTCCCGGCTCTAACTACCACACTACACTGCCTTGCTTATGTGAATCAACTTCTTCAACTGTGAAACGAGGGTATCTGTTGATTAACTTACAATACAGTTCTTATAATTTCAAAATACCCTAAGGGAACCGTTAGTCACAGAAAACTAGACATACAAAAACTAGTTAAGGCAACAAAACCAATAATGTTTCTAAATATTAAACATGCTGAACCTCTCCAAGATAATTTTTACCTATAATTCTGCCTGGCTATAAAATAACTTCATAATTCCAAAATTTAAAAAAGGCAATTCAGAAATATTGTATGAAGAAGTGCTGGAGTTAAGGGGAGTACAAAATGCTGTATGAATGTTCAATTCTAAGCTTTAAACGTTATACTTTGAAGATTTTGGATGTCTATTATCTATTTAAATTGTCATTAAAATTTTTCCCCAGTTTTACTGAGATATAATTGACATGTAACATTGTGTAAGTCATACAATGTAATGAATTGATATATGCATATACCGTGAAACAATTACCACAGTAAGTTTCGTTAACAACCATCACCTCATATAGATTCAAACTTTTTTCCTTGTGATGAAAACTTAAGATCAACTTTCTTAGTAACTTTCAAATATACAAAAGAGTATCGTTAACTATAGTCATCATGCTGTACATTACATCCCCAGAACTTATTTATCGTACAGTGGAAAAGTTTGTATCTTTTGACCACCTTCACTCAGTTCCCCCACACCCACCCCTGCCTCTGGCAACCACTAATATTTCTGTTTCTATAAACTTGGTTTATTTAGATTTCACGTATAAATGAGATCATACAGCATTTGTCTTTCTCTGTTTGACTGACTTCACTTAGCAAAATGCCCTCAAGCCCTATCCATGTTGTCCCAAATAGCAAGATTTCTTTTTTTTAAATGGCTGACTACTATGCCATGTATATATATGGTGTGTGTGTGTGTGTGTGTGTGTGTGTGTGTGTATACACACCATATTTTCTTTATCCATTCATCCATCAGTGGACATTTACATTGTTTCCATGTCTTGGCTATTGTAAATAATGCTGCAATGAACACAGGGGTGCAGATATCTCTTTGGGATAGTGATTTTGTTTCCTGCAGATATATACCCAGAAGTAGAACTGATGGATCATATGGTAGTTCTATTTTTAATTTTTTGAGGAACTTCTATACTGTTTTCCATAGTGACTGCACCAATTTACACTCCCACCAACAGTGCACAAGGGTTCCCTTTTCTCCACATCCTCACCAGCACTTGTTATTTCTTGTCTTTTTGATAAGAAACATCCTAACAGGTGTGAGGTGATGTCTCATTGTGGTTTTGATTTGCATTGCCCCAATGATTAGTAATGTTCAGCACCTTTCCACGTAGCTGTTGGCCATTTAAATATCTTTGAAAAAATGTTTATTCAAGTCCTTTGCCTGTTTTTTAGTTGGATTATTATTTTTTGCTATTGAGTTGTATGAGTTCCTTATATATTTTGGATGATAATCTCCTATTAGATGTGTGGTTTCCAAATATTTTCTACCATTTCATAAGTTGCCTTTTCATTTTGTTGATGGTTTCTTTGGTTGTGTAGAAGCTTTTCAGTTTAATGTAGTCCCACTTGTTTATTTTTATTTTGTTGCTTGTACTTTAGGTGACATATCCAAAAAGTCATTGACAAGACCCATTATGAGGAAATTTTTTCCCTATCACTTCTTCTAGGAATTTTATGGTTTTGGTCTTACTTTTAAGTCTTTAATCCATTTAGAGTTAATTTTTGAGTGATGTAAGACAGGGTCTAGTTTCATTCTTTTGCATGTGAATATCCAATTTTCCCAGCACCATTTATTGAAGAGACTGTCTTTTCTTCATTTAGTAATCTTGGCTCCCTTATCAAATATTAGTTGACTGTATATGCATGGGTTTATTTCTGGGCTCTTGATTCTGTTCCATTGGTCTATGTGTCTGATTTTAACGTGAGTACCATACTGTTTTGAGTAATGCAACTTTGTAACGTAGTTTGAAATTAGGAAGTGTGATGCCTCCAACTTTGCTTTTCTTATTCAGGACTACTTTGGCTATTTAGAGTCTTTTGTGGTTTCATATGAAAACAATCCCATTTACAATAGCATCAAAAACAATAAAATAAAATACTTAGGCATAAATTTAACCAAGGAGGTGAAAGATCTGTATACTGAAAACTATAAGATATTGATGAAAAAATCTGAAGGCACGAATAAATGAAAAGGTATCCCATGTTCCTGGATTGGAGGAATTAATATTGTTAAAATTTATTCCCAGGTATTTTATTCTTTTTGATGCAACTGTAAATATGATAGTTTTCTTAATGTCTCTTTCTGATACTTCATTATTACTGTATAGAAACATAACACTTTTGTTTGGTGATTTTTGTATCTTGCAACTTTACTGAATTTATTAATTAATTCTAACAGTGTTTTGGTGGTCTTTAGGGTTTTCTATATATAATATGTCATCTGAAAACAGTGACAGTTTTACTTCTTTTTGAATTTCGATGCCTTTTATTTCTTTTTCTTACCTAATTGCTCTGGCCAGGACTACCAATACTATATTGAATAAACGTGGCGAAAATGGGTATCCTTGTCTTGTTACTGATCTTAGAGGAAAAATTTTCAGCTTTTCACTGCTGAGTATGATGTTAGCTGTGGGCTTGTCATATATGGCCTTTACTATGTTGAGGTATATTCCCTCTATACCCACTTTGTTGAGAGCTTTTAATCATAAATGGATGTGGAATTTTGTCAAATGCTTTTTCTGCATCTATTGAGATCTTATGATTTTTATCTTACATTTTATTAATGTGGTATATCATGTTGATTGATTTGCAGATGTTGAACCATCCTTGTATCCCTGGAACAAATCCCACTTGATCATGGTGTATAATACTTATAATATATTGTTGAATTTGGTTTCCTAACATTCTGTTGAGGATTTTTGCATCTATGTTCATCTGGGATATTGACCTGTAATTTTCTTTTCTTGTGGGGTCCTTATCTGGTTTTGATATCAGGGTAATGCTGGTCTCATAAAATAAGTTTGAAAGTGTTTCCTCCTCTTCTAATTTTGGAAGAGTTTGAGAAGAATTGGTGTTAATTCTTTGAATGGTAGAATTCACCAGTGAATCTGTCTGGTTCTGGACTTTTGTTTGTTAGGAGGTTTTTGATTACTAATTTAATCTCCTTACTAATAATTGGTCTATTCAGATTTTCTATGTCTTCATGATTCAGTCTTGGAAGGTTGTAAGTTTCTAGGAATTTATCCATTTCCTCTAGGTTGTCTCATTTGTTGGTGTGTAATTGTTCATAGTGGTGTCTTATGATCCTTTGTATTTCTTTGGTATCAGTTGTAATGTCTCCTCTTTCGTTTCTGATTTTACTTATTTGAGCCCTCTCTCTTTTTTTCTTGGTGAGTTTAGGTAAAGGTTTGTCAATTTTATTTATCTTTTCAAAGAACCAGCTTTTACTTTCATTGATCTTTTCTTTTGTCATTTTAGTCTCTATTTCATTTATTTCCACTCTGATCTTTATTATCTCCTTCCTTCTACTAACTTTGGGCTTTGTTTGTTCTTCTTTTTCTTGTTCCTTGAGGTGTCAAGTTAGGTTGTTTATTTGAGATTTTTCTTGTTTCTTTTCTTTTTTTTTTTAAAGATTTTATTTATTTTATTTTTTGCCCCCAAAGCCCCAGTAGATAGTTGTATGTCATAGCTGCACACCCTTCTAGTTGCTGTATGTGGGACTCGGCCTCAGGATGGACAGAGAAGTGGTGCCTCGATGCGCACCCGGGATCCGAACCCGGGCCGCCAGCATCGCAGCGCGCACACTTAACCACCAAGCCACAGGGCCGGCCCTTTCTTGTTTCTTAAGGTAGGCATTTAGTGCTATAAAACTTCCCACTTAGAACTGCTTTTGCTACATCCATAAATTTTGGTATATTGTATTTCCATTTTCATTTGTCTCAAGGTATGTTTTGATTTCCCCTTTGATTTCTTTGTTGACACATTGGCTGTTCAGCAGCATGCTGTTTAATCTCCACATATTTGTGAATCTTCCACTTTTCTTCTTGTAATTGATTTCACTTTATACTGCTGTGGTTGGAAAAGATGCTTGATATATCAGATTTCAATCTTGTTAAATTTAGTGAGACATGTTTCGTGGCCTAACATATGATCTCTCCTGGAGAATGTTCCATGTGCACTTGAGAAGAATGTGTATTCTGCTGCTTTTGGGTGGAATGGTTCTGTATAAATCTATTAAGCCCATCTGTTCTAATGTGTTGTTTAA